TAGCAGCATTCATTTTTTATCTCGATCTTAAGATGTAAACCAGTGACCCCATTTTTCGTTTTGCGACGAATCTTGTATGCCGAAACGCAAACGCAGAAGGTACCTATGTACAAATCGACTTTTGTTTAAGCGAATGAATACCGAGCGACGAATAAAAATAACGTGGCAGTGGCGAGATTAATTTGAGATTATTCGTTATTATGCTCTTTTGTTTTTTTGTTAGAGAGTTTTTATGTCGTCCTACTATCTGTGACCCTTTATTTCAATGCCTCGGTGTTTCTTCCGGCTTCAAATCAAATAGTATTGTGATGAAAGTTCGGATAAAACTATGAACTCGACGTGCATAAATTAAATCTTGTTTGATTTAGTGTCATATATTTGCAATATCGATTCATAAATAAATTTTCATAGTACAGATTTAATACCACGTAATTGTGATAACGTCGTCACAAAAATTTAAAAAATAACTGATTTTTGAAACTATTGATTTGAAGTCAGTCTTCCAAAGTACTGATTAGTAAATGCACAAACGTATACTATAGAGGTATTCATTTTATTAATGGTGTTCATTATCTTCGATTAACAGGTAAGCGTGTATTTATGAGATATTATTTCCTTACATTCAAAGTTTCGATTGGTAGAAGTTTTGAATACAAATTAGTTAATAAAATTTGATAGCAAAGGAGCTTAGGGCTTATATTTAAGCCGTTCGACCTCATCGTCATGCGGGGAATGGTTGCGAGCGCGCATTAGAGATTCGTGCGTGGTTGCGGTGCTGCGGCAGTACCATCGATTGTTTACTACACACTAGAATCATGTATGTCTGTCAAGGACGCGAGATAAAGAAAATTTTACCTTATTACTTAGGTAATAAGCGTCCGGACACATAATAGAATGTGTTAATATCGCCCGTGACCACACGGGTCGACATCGATATGCCTTTTTCTGGAGTTTTGTCACGATCTTACGCACTCGAGAACGTCACTTTAGAAGGGGGTATCGACATTAACTGATGGTTATGCCATTAGAATAACTTTGAATAGAGTAATTAAGTTATGAATACACAAAGCGAATAAGGTTTAAAAGAAGGAATTATTAACACCAATAAAACAGTACAACCGAGCCGCCCTGTTCTAGGACTCTTTTTATTACGGAAATAATATGAATGGAAACGTTCTCGAAACATATCGATTAGTCGACAACTTTATCGACGCTTGTTTTGTTTTATTATAATAAAAAGTATCGCGTCGACGATTTCTTATTTAAGCGACTGAATTATTAACAATGAGCTCAAGGCGTTGATCACAATACACATCACAAATGATAAAACGGACTACTTTGCGGTAAAACTGGAGTTCGGTGTGCTGTTCAATATTCTCATTAGTCAAAAAAAATTAAAGGTATTTTTTGTTTCGTTATTAATGTAATTATGAGAGAAAAAAATCTAACAGAATGAAGTTATTATTTCATAATGATATCCATTCAAACAAAGAATATCTACTTATTAAAGTATTGTCGAGAAATTATAAAGTAGAAATATTTCTAAGTATAAATATTGGAAACTCTTTTGACGGTTCGATTCCTCAACGGGACAAGTATTTGTATTCATTTATTGCAGTCCGCCAAAAGTCTACTGCAGAACGTAGACCTTCCAGAAAGACTCCTTCATAGGGGCCGTATAGTGTCGGCGTGAGGGACTCCACTCACTGCGGTTGCCAACCTGGGTCGGCTGGTGGCTACGGGTCTGGCTGTTAGTCTTTGTATTTAATATATACAAGTATTTTAAATAATTCAGGCTCAGAAGAGCTAGAACCCAGAGTCTTAAAGCCAGTTAATAATAAAAAAGTATTTTAAATAGAAAATAGAACTGAACTCGCGTTAGGTGTAGACGATACGCAACTTTCATTACCATAAAACATTACCATAACTACAATTGCAGCAAAAGTACATATTGTTGCTAAAGCACATCAATTTTTTATAGCCTAAACATATTATAACTTCGGATATAGGATTACACAATTATATCAAATTGTTGGTTGCCAAACCGCTTGCCAAACTTGGCAACTATGGCAAATATCCCACCCTATAAGGCAATCTATGTTCAGTAGTGGATTTTAATAACGGTTTATAACGATAAAAAACCTGTATTTGCCAAACCGCTTGCCAAACTTGGCAACTATGGCAAATATCCCACCCTATAAGGCAATCTATGTTCAGTAGTGGATTTTAATAACGGTTTATAACGATAAAAAACCTGTGGTTGCCAAAACCGCTTGCCAAACTTGGCAACTATGGCAAATATCCCACCCCATAAGGCAATCTATGTTCAGTAGTGGCTTTTAATGGCCTGTAATGATAACAATGTGATATAAGACGAATGAAACAAAGTTAAGCTTAAAGTTTATTATATAATATTCATTCTCACTCTTATCAGATACCACTATCATAATAGATTTGTCTTCCAACATAGTAATCTCTTAGGTCACCAATTTAACCCATTTTTATACACGTTATTTGTACGTTCGTTGACGAGAGCATAAATGTCGGAGCCTTCAAAAGGAATCACTTTCACCCAATAACGAGTACTGGTTGAAACCGAGACTGAAATCAATTAACACTTAGCATTGCACATATTTAACTTCAAGTAGAGTTACAAGTTTATTTTGAGAGAAATATGCATATATGTCCCGCCCGGTCTAAAATTAAGTAAGTGAAACGGGCAGTTTGTCGGTTTTAAGGAAAAAATTTATAGCGATAGCTTTTCAGGGAAAATACACAGCGTCAAGAAAATATTCAGATTATCGTTATTTAATGTTAGTCTACTGTAAGAATTTATCAATTTGAATTTCATTAAAACTATGACGTCAGTCGTGGTTGCTCAAGGACTAAGCTCTGGCTGTAAATTACAAAGTACGTCAGCAACAACAAAACGAAATTTTTAATTGCAATTTTAACTGCTGATCCACTCGCTCGGCGGTGAAGGAAAACATTGTGATGAAGCCTGCATGTCTGAGAATTAACAAAAATATTTCTCCGACATGTGAAGTCCACCAACACGCATCGGCGCAGCGCGGCGGACATTTCCTTGCCCTAAAACCCTCTCAGAAATAAGAGGAGCCCTGTGCCCAGCAGTGGGACGTATATAGGCTGTGTAACTTTATGAGAAGACGCCCACTGTAAAGTCGAGGCGGATTCAAGGTACTGGTGAGGTGTAGTCATATTCGCAGCAATAAAGTACCGTAGGAGCAATTACAAGGCGGTTTCACTCAAGTTGCGCACCTTTTTCCCTATGCTTTGCATAGGATTAGAAGTCACGGCGGCATCAAAGCGATGACGCAAAGTGCATCTTTTCCTGTGTAATTACAATAAGCGTTCTTCCCTGAGCCCTCGTTTTCAATACAAATTTACAATTTTTAATTTTCTTTAATTAGTCGAACTTCAAAGTAACAAACCGTAGAATATTTGAGTTACTTAAAAAACTGATACAACGAAAACCTTAAAATAAGTGTTGGTACTTCACTATCTTAAGTGATTCCTTATGAGAACGCACTACCTACACCATGAATGATAGCCGACGGCTATTATAGCCTCCTCAAGCGTTATGTAACTACGGTAATGTAAAATGGATAATACTAATGACAAGTGATATTTAAAATGTATTAGTTAGTCGCTATCTCGTCACTATATGATTGAGTGAGACAAATCAGATATGCATAGACAATAACTAAACTTTCACTTCAGGGCTCACGCAGTTACTCCTTGAAATTGATTTTAGTATGGGACATCACTCACAAATATAGAAAGTCTCATTTTTTTTTAAATCGGATAAGGTGACAAACGAGCACACAGTCCAACAGCAACAAAAACAACACAGCAGCATTAAGCTACTATTTGACGCTGGTATTCTGTGAGAGCGTGGTCCTTAACTAATATAACTGCGGCATGGCTCTACCACGTATAATATTTTTAATAAACAGTTGCAAAAACTTTCGTAGGTATCAAATGTGTTATTCCGAAAAAGACTTGAGGATTGTGAAACTGTAAATTTTCATACAAAAAACGATAACATTTTCCCGCCGTAAACATAGACTAATTTTTATAATTCTTGAAAATGTTGTAGATATAATGAAAAACTAGGTCTGTACGTTTTTATTTTAAATATATATTGCGTACAAAAATGGGTTATTTAAAAAATTAAAAAAAAAACCCCCCCAACAAAAGATGTAAATAATAGACAGTCTATTTAAATTTAGGGGAAAAGTGCCAAAAAAGGAGCAACCGCAAATCGGGACTTTACAATCCTCTAAACTTAGTGGTTTTAAAAAAAATAACAGCCTTCATCATCAGCATCATGATTACAGTCCATTACAAGTCCTCTGCTCGACAAAGCTGCCCATGGAATGCCACAAACACGGCCTTGAGCCACCTGCATCACTTACCAGGTCATCAATCCGTCTAGTGCGCCATGCACTCACCGATACGAGGTTGCCACTCGAGAACCATTCTTCCCTACCGGTTGGCGGTTCTTCGAGCGAAATGGCCGAAAAATTGTAACTACTACAAAACTCGACAAACATTTTTTGGTGAAAATAAGTGCAGTTTGCATTATGCTGGTATTTTATAAGCCCCATCTACCGAAAAAACGGTTTGGTATTATTTCAATAAATTACAAAAATGTTTAGTTTAGTTTTTATTTAAATGACTTAATGGTATTGTTGTTCATACAGAAAAAAAAAGATTTTTTTGTTTGTCGTATTTCACAGGCGCAGCGACGAAATGTACTTAGCGTTTAGTTTCTTCAAAATAGTCAAGTGTCTCTAAGTGTATTTCGTCATGAGGTGACGTTTTTATTAAAAAATATTAACAAATACGGCTTATTGAAATGCTAGGCGCAAAACCCTAAACATTTTTGCAAGAAAACCAATTATTCTTGTAAAGTTGCATAAAGGGCCCACGAGAGCAATCCAAGCCGGGCAAGTAACTTGACGTAATGACGTAAATTAAGTCTCAAAAAGCGCGTTATGTAATGCACCTTTTTCCTTGCATTTCATCACTAGAGTGGACAGTTGGTTGATAATGCTCGTAATTAGCAGCATGTTTGCATCACCAGCGGGCGCGCGCATGTCGCCGGTCCACATGTTTGGCGCGCACTCTTTACGAAGCAAAAACGACACATTTCCAGGAGAGTTCAAATCATTTCCAGGGGTTTTGTGACTCCATTTGCAATTAGTTGAGTTACTCGCAAATCGAAACGTAATGTCGAGCATTTTTATGTCTCCTTGATTTCATGCCCTCATGAAAATTTAAATGGGAAATTGTTTTGTTACTTTTTTACTCATCATTCAAAAGTAATTAACACTTGCACATTGTTTAAATAATGTTTTTTGTAACTTTCAGAGAAGCCTCCAACTTGAAGTTAATTATTTTGAAGCAAGAAAATACAGGTTAATTTTTATATAACTGAAAGAACAATTTAAATATATATAGCGCGAACTTTTTTATACATCTAAGTTTTATTAAAGTTCTGTTTGGGCGTGCAGTGGGGCGGGCGTCCTACTCCGGAAGTCAGGTTACAAAATGGTTTAGTTGTATGGAAGCCGCAATCTGCAGACAACTCGACTATATAGTATTGTGGAAAAAGAATAAAAGTTATATGCATGAGTTCTACGTCTTGAGAGGAAACCGTTCAATGTGAATGCCGCACGCGCCGCCGCACCGCCACGCCACAAGTGCCGCTGAATGCTTTCTAGCTCTCTACTTAGGCCGTACCATAATGTCCTCCAGACCGAAAATCGGTCACGGCGGCCTGCCTCAACGGAGGCTATCCATCGGCGCAGGATAGGATTAAAGTGTCCAAGTGTATGCGCAAGCACAGGTGCACTCTCTGTTTCCTCACTCTCGTAATCCGATGGGACGGTAAACTGACACAACCGGGAGAGAGATCAGGCGCAGGACCAACGGCTTTTTGTGCTTTCCGAGGCACGGGGGTGAGACACCTCCAACTTCCTGACTCGGGGCAGCTACTGAGAATTTCTTGACAGAAAAACTCAATAAATAACTTTTTGACCCGACCCGGGATTCGAACCCAGGACCTCATGATCAGCAGTCGCGCTACTACAACCACTAAACCACCAAGGCCGTGCCATAAATATCAAGTTTTGAAACTACTTGTGTTGTACTTAATATTTTTATTTATTTTGTGTTGTTCTTGTTCAGTTTATACAATCTATAAAAAATTTTTACATGTATGTTCTCTAAATAAGCAAAAATTTAGAACGTATATTAGGTGTATTAAAAAATTTAATACATTAACAAAGTATTGTATTAGTCCATTAAATTATTTGTAATTAGAAAACAAAACTAATTATTAAAATCAACATTAAATACCTTTAGAATTCCTCTGTCGTACTATTGTTATCAGACATGGAAATGTATGCATACCTTAAAATATTTCTTATCACACATTACTTCCCACTTTTAGAGAAATTTCTCCTAAAGAACCGTAGAGTCGGGGTATTTAACTGACGCATCTTCACTTTCGTATACAACCGTATCGAAATAATAAGCTCTCTCCATATTAATTACGTCCTAGAGCTTTCTAATACACGAGATAAATAGCCGACTTGGGTCTCCAGTGTAATGGCCGGTGCTTCGTAATGAGACGCAGATGGGATGGACATTTTCTTAGATGGATGAATGCACTCCGCGTCCATTACGACAGTCGGTCGCATTACGACTTCCATGAGCCACATTTATATCTTTAGTTCAAACCTCCGGCTTCGCTTTCTTTATAATTGCTGTGATCGCCGGAACATCACCTCTGACGGCGATTGATGTCCGATGTTCCACTGGCCGGTTTAAAAACACAGAGACATTTCCCCGTTGCGCAACTTGATATTGACAAATATACAAGACCTCCGTTCTTCATAATCGGTACTAGCGCCGATTGATTGCGATTATCATCTTAAGGTACTCTCGTCTCATCTTAATGGTGATATTCCTTAAGATAGACTTACAGGTCTATCTAGCTAGCAGCGGCTGGCGGCCATTTATAGATTACCATGTCGTGTGCGTGTGATGCTCAAAGTATGGTGATGATTTATTGGACATTTACTCGCTTTCAAATTTCGTATTCAATCTAAAACTAGTAAAGCGCAAAGATCAACATTTTATATAAGTATTAGGGGAAGCTTAATGGGTATTCTCTATGCCCTCTAAAAACTAAACAATTTATTCCCTTGCATAAATGTTAGGTACCATAAGCTGAGTCTTGAACAACGACCATTAAACCATTATTGCAATATATTTCACTATCATTTCAATCGCCTATCGTCACGACGGTTATGGAAATAAACTATATTAACCATGATAAAGCGCTGTTTTTATGATGACAACTTTAACATAATTACATTATTTTAATGACCCTAAAAACAGGACAATACTCTCTAACAGTACGTTTGCACTGAGAAACATCCAACACGTAATGTTTTGAAACAAATCGCATAAAATAAATCACACAACATGTTTTTTTGATTGTGGCGTTCGCACTAACAAGAACTGTGTAAATTTTTCAACAGATATTCAAACTTATCTTTCAACATGAAATATTCAAATGTTTCCAACATTTTGTTTCTGTAGTTATAAAGAAAATAATAGAATTAAATAAACGTCAACAACGAAACATTTTTTGACTATGCAAACGCTTTTTGATACATTAAAATTTTAAAACATGTTTTTTTTTGTAATCTTACTCCGTAACGAGTTGTTTGAAACAACGAATCAACTTGCCGAGGTAACAGAAACTCTAGAGGGGAGTTCAAATCACTTGTAGTTTTTGTTGGCTCACACCACAAGGCGGAATTGTGTTAACGTCTTATTTCTACACATGCTATATACATAATCGTTTACGATTTTATTTTGCACGTGATTTATGTATCTATTTATTACTCTGTTGAAACTATATATCAAGTTACGCAATACAAGTTGTAAAATAAAAAAAATTGTACAACCGACTTCAATAAAGATCAAGATAACTCAAAAAGTACTGGTCAGATCTTGATCACATTTATATAGAACCACATAATAAGCACCAGCTTTCAAATAAAGAAAAGAAAGGAATCATTAAAATCGGTTCTCCTAGAAAATAGTACTGAGGTAACATACATAAAAAATTACAGTGGAATTGAGAACTTCCTCCTTTTTTAGAAGTCAATTGAAAATGTTTTCAGTTTTTTTACGAATCCATATTTTTTTAAAGTCTATCAGTAATTTCGAAATAAATGGTTTCTATTAGGTTGCGAAGGTAATTTGCATGCTTTTAAGACCTGAATAACCATTTTTTAAATTTTTAACTGTTTGTAACTCTAGCTGTATGTATGGGCTGTCAGTATGTGGTATGTATGTGGTTTTTCCTGTATGGGCTCTTGCAATGTACGATTCGTCGTTTTTATCTTTAGAATGGCTGAAGCTATTTTGATGATACTTCAGAAACAGATAGAGAGCAATGCCAGGAGTGAACTAGGCTATATATATTTATAATATTAATATTTATCATCATCATCATTACAGCCCTTCACAAGTCCACTGATGAACATAGGCCTCCCCCAAGTAATGCCACAAAGCACGGTCCTGAGCCACCTGCATCCATCGACTTCCTGCATGTCTTACCAGGGAGTCACTCCATCTAGCGGGGGGTCGCCCTACACTACGCCAACCGGTACGAGGCTGCCACTCGAGAACCTTTCTTCCCCATCGGTTATCGGTTCTTCGAGCTATATGGCCGGCCCATTGCCACTTCAGCTTACTAATCCGTTGGGCTATGTCGGTCACTCTGGCTTTACTGCGGATATCCTCATTTCTGAGTCTATCACGCAGAGAAACTCCGAGCATAGCCCTCTCCATAGCTCGCTGAGCGACCTTGAGCGTCCTCATACGGCCACCAGTGAAGGACCACGTCTCAGATCCATAAGTCATCACTGGCAACACGCACTGGTTGTACAATCTAGTTTTTAGAGATTGAGGTATATCTGACGAGAAGATATGTCGTAATTTCCCGAACGCTGCCCAGCTGAGTTGAATCCGTCGATTGACCTCTCGGTCGAAGTTTGACTTACCTAGTCGGACTATTTGTCCCAGGTAAACCTACTCGTAAACAACTTCGAGCATAGTGCTCCCAACAACTACCGTAATAGGTGTGACATGGACATTAAACATGATCTTTGTTTTGTCCATGTTCATCTTAAGACCTATCCGTTGGGAGGCATTATTGAGGTCATTGAGCCCATCGTAGCGCTACTGTACAAACACTTCAGCACTTCGATATACCGACAGTCAACTTGGCGCCACTGAAGGGACTGTAGCACCGCCACAGATTACCTCCGCCCAAATTTCGACAGAATCAAAGGCTTCTCATAGTCCAGGCAAAGTGGCAGATTGTACTTTCGGTCTTCTGTACAATCTGCCGCAGGGTATGTATGTGGTCTATGGTACTGAAGCCTTTCCGGAAACCATCTTGTTCGGGAGGCTGGAAGTCGTCGAGTCTGCGTGCGAGACGATTCGTAATGACTATCGAAAACAGCACGTAGACGCGGCTCAGAAGGGAAATCGGTCTGTAATTCTTCAAGAGAGCGTTGTCGCCTTTCTTAAAGAACAAGACCACCGCACTTTTGCTCCACGCCTCTGGAGTAGTGCCACCATGGAGGACGAAATTGAAGAGCTTCTGAAGTACTTCAAGTACCGATGTTACACCCGCTTTCAGAAGCTCCGCTGTAATTCCGTCCTCGCCTGGGGCCCTGCCATTTTTAAGGTGCTGGAGAGCCATTCTAATCTCGCTTAGACTGACGTCCGAGATATCATCGGAATAGTGTCGCATAAGACTTGCTCTTGGATCGTTACTCATACTTGCGTGTGGCTCCAACGATGATGTGTACAGATGCCCATAGAACCTGTCATTATCACTCAAAATCTCAGGTGTCCCGGAAACGATGCTGCCACGCTCAGTCTTCAGCTTTGACAGTTGGCTCTTACTGGCAGGCAGATCTCTGGCAAAGACTTTGGAGTCCTGGTCCCACTCGATCGCTTCTTTAATACGAGCAGTATTAAAGTTGCGTAAGTCTCGCCCAAAGACTATATAACCACTTGACTGCGCATACAGTGCCCCGACGCTCGAAAACTATTAGTATTTTGTCGCCTATGCATCGGCTATGGTAGTATTAACCAATTTAGTATTGTCCAAGTGCTAGACCTGTGTGCACGCTAAATTAATGCA